TGAGGATCAATGCAGTCAAGTACCAGTCTGATGGATAACACTGCACGTAAAGATCCAGACTCCACTCAAGTGTGTGTGCGAGCACTGGGTGTGTTTGCAGGGACTCGTGTTCTTCTGTGTATATAAATGACAGAAAGACAAACAGCCAATCTGTCTCAGTGTGTTTGTGCATCTGAAAGAGCGAAAGGAAAGCACAGACTTGTCAGTGTTTTGTTTCAGTGTGTGTCTGTGTGAAACATTGATTACCACAGTGAGCAATCAGCGGTGGCTCGAACTAACAGACAGGCACAGAGCGGGCCAGCGAGTGTGTCCATTGGCCACGCGTGGCCCATTAAGCAGCAATCAACCTTCCCCATCCTGCTTAGCATTCCAGCAGGATGCCTGCCTGCCACAAAGCCAACGCATGACTGTAGTGAATGTGGTCAGGTTTGGCAGGGGAAACAAAAGGCCTGCAGGGCAAAATAAAAGAGTTAGACCAAAGCATGAATATCCACACAGTATGTGCAGAATCACATCTGCATTTTATAGGCTGGGAAGCAAGAATTGAGGTGAATTAAAGTTGGCCTCCAGCATTATTAGTATTTTATTGAACTGCCGTAAATGTAGCGGACATAAAAGAAAGATTTAGAAACAGGCGGGTTAGAGGCTGATATATCTTTATCTCCAGTGTGAGCATGACTTCAGAAACAAAGAACCAGGAAAACAGTGGCAAAGCTTAAAACCACTTCATCTGTTCTGCTGATATCCGTCCACTTATACCAGCTCTTTTGCCGGTATAACCCTTCTTCTTCTACTTACATTATGGGTCAACAGAGTGGATTATATGCCTCCATCTCACAGTATCCCTAGCATCCTCCTCTGTCACACCAACAATCTTCATGTCTTCACTGCATCCATGAATCTACCCTAAGCTATTCCTCTTTTCCTTCCTCTTCCTTTTTGAGTGTCTCTACATACAACCGGATAAGTTTGTAATACTTCTTATGTCTTCCTGGAGAAAACTGGTTTCGCCTTCTTCTTCTTCTATAGCTGCGCTGATGTAGAGATTTTGTTGTTTAGGAGAACACTGAATTGAGTAAAGAAAGAAAAAAGCTTTTGGACAGTCCTACTGCGTTATTAGTTAACGCAAGATGCATGGAGGGGTTAATGTATAAAAGCCTTTATTGTATTTGTTTATATATGGGGGATGGAAGAAATATGGCCAAACGTTCTTCTCTAAATAATGTTTAGACAATAGATTGATTAATTTTGGTTTATATTTGAGATAGAAACAAAGAATACATCTTTCTCATTCTCCTATATGCCTTTTGCCTTATTATAACTCATACAGATGAATCCCACCTCATGAAGATGACCTCAATAAACTGCCTTTCTCTGATCTCCTGTTTTCTCCTTTGCCTTCTCTTTCCTCCTGTTTGTGCTTTTTCTGCCCTGTCTGCTGGTATCTCTGCCTCCAGAGCTGGATGTTTCTAATCTGAAGCCACCGGCCTCACTAACCTGCTGAGTGTCTATCGCTGTATTGTTTGTTGCCTCTCTTCCACACTCTTCTTTTCTGTCTCCAATCTCACCCTTACCACAACCGTTTGAGACAGATGGCCATCATCCTTGAGCCTGCTTCTGTTGAAGTTTTCTCTTTGTTAAAGGAGAAGAGGTTCCACATATCCTCACTAGCCCGCACACCTACACAGCCCCTTCTATTCTTTTCTTTTTTCCCCCCACCTTTAAATTTTTAAAACAGGTCTTTCACGACTCCTGTCAGAAATCCTGGTTCATGTTCAGAGTCCTTGATTCACAATATATTAAAGCCGTGCATCTGCAGCTGTGGGATGTGAGAATGCAACAAAAGCTGAGATTTTGACATTGTGTCGAGGTATGATTAACTTTCCAAGAAAAATAAAGAAAGCTATTCATCATCATGTTTTCTGAGGTAATTTGATTATTAAATCAGCTGACCTAAGGCGTATAAAATTCTTAAACTTAGAATAGATCAAACTCAATTACTATGGTGTAATTAAATTCATGTGACTTATCCTTTGGCTTTTGACTTGTTAGTTCTACTGCTTGAAGCACTGCTCACGCAAGATGATGAAACTGATGTTGACTGCTTAAGTTTACTTTTTCCTTTTATCCAATTAGTTTGCATACTTTGTTTGCATGCTTCATCAAATTTCACAGTGAAAACCTCAAGTTCTGACCTGTTACAAGTCCTAATCAATAATAAATGATTAATTTCATGGTAAGCCTATGCAGAAAGGGCTGCGCTGCTGTCATCACTGTTAAAAACATTGTATATTCTTCTATTCTACTAAGCTCTTAAAGCCTGAGTTACACATGCCTGGAGAATGGTTGTATTTCCTCCTAGTGTTTTGTGGAAGCACTAACCAACTACTGGTGGCAAAACTTGTGTAACACAAATCAGAAATGAAGAGCATTTGCCTTCAAGGCAAGTTGTGCCTTACTGCTGCAACCAACACCTTTCAAAAAGTGCAACGTTTACTTTGAACGTAAAAGTTCTCCATTTACATTTAGCCTCAAATCTTCACAAATCCACTTTGACTTAGCAACCAGTTTGCAAGTATTTGCAAACTGGTTGGCATCTTCCATGCAAACTACTGGAGACCAGAGCATTTTGCTATTGACCGAAGCAGTTTCCAATGCAGCACTGCATACCTCTTTGAGACAAATTTAGTATTAGCCAGCAAACTCTAGCAACCACTTGCCAATTTGTCGTGGAATACAAATCTTTCCATAGCGACTGGATGGCTGCAACCACTTGCAACCAGTCTGGAAATATTAATTTTTTCATGAGGTTGCAGACCAGTCTCTAGGCTTCTGTGACTGAGGACTAACATCCACCAGAATCCCCACTGAATGAGGGTTAGGGTTAGTTTGCATTTTGCTAAAGAAGCCTAGTTTTGGAAACTAGAAGATCTGATCAAATTTCTATAATTCCACACAAAGGGCAAATTCTGCCTTAATCGTTGGCAGCAACATGGTAGCTGTAAAGAGGTCAAAGTAGCCACACTATGGGTTTTATTAATTTCTGTCATATATTCTGTCACAGTGGCATTTTCAAAACATGGCCACAGTTTCAAATAATGAGGTCAGAGTATATATTCAATCAATCTCCATGAACCAAAAGCTCAAGTCCTCTATGCACTTGGTTTCACTACAACTATTGTCTCTACTTAATTGTGGGCACGTAGCACAGAAGCCCCACCCACTTGCTTTAAAAATATTCAAATTGTGAGGGGCAGCCAATCAGAACAAAGTTGTCTTAAAAGGAGATGGAAGGGAGCTCAAACACACTGCTTTAGAGTGAATGAACTGCAGAAAAGCTAAATGATAAAAAAAGATTATTTTAAAACGTAAATCACGCAAAGACACTCCAGTGCAGTCGAATAATAAAAACATGGGTCTAGAAACAATGAGCATTATAGCTACCCTTTAAAAAGGTATATCGTGCACAGCATCCCTGAAAATATACCTTCATAAAATGTCCTCACATTTCTCAGATTACTGAACAGATTGATCAAAAATCTTTAAAATATGGCTTCATACGATTGGAAGTATGATATTAGCCAAAAAACATAGATACATTTATCATAAAGCGCTGAGAGTTCTTGGAAGCTGGTGATGTGAGCACTGAGAAAGAATGCTGTCACTGAAACCTGTAAAGGTCACCATCTGTTTATCTACATCTCTGAAACAGATTTTCTCACTGACTATCAGCTCTGTGATCGTCTCTGTGATGGTGACATTTACAGGTATGAAGTAGGAAATGTACCTCCCTCCTGAGGCGTTCACGTCGAGAGCTAGCTGAAACATTAGAAGAAGACCTTTAATCGAATGTTTTCACACGTGCTTGGGGAAGAAACGCTGCGCACATCCTATTATGCTAATGTGGGCGTTCATGCAGATTCCTGGCATGGACACTGGAAGCAAGAACAGCAGTAAAAAGCTGGTATGAAATTGCAATTATTAAGCTGGCATCCTCTGGCTTTTGATTCACTTGCAAAATAACAGTGTGCGCCGTCTCAGAGAAGTAATAATCATTTCAATAACTGCACGGAAAAATGTTTTTTAATGATGGCAGGCGCATGTCAGTGTGCTGACAACAGCTGGCAAGTGGGTGGATATTTGAGATCAGGTGCAGATTGTCTAAAGATTGAGATTTATAGGGAAGAATCTGGCTTTTTATTATTAAAGGAGGGGCTGTAAAGAAGTGAATACATAATTACAAGCACTTAAGGAAAGTGGATCATCTGTTTTGCTATTCTTTCAAAGTCGGTACGAGTAATTTACAAGTTCCTTTTGACTGTACTGAGCATACTGAGAATGTAAGAGTAATGTAGTTTCTCAGTTTGCAGCAATTTCTCCACCTTCTCTTTGATTTTTCAGCCTGATGCTACAAAACTAGAAAAGCATCATTTAAATGTTTAAGTGGTCAGTTTATCTTCAGTGCAAACACTAATTTACTAAGTTATCCTAAATGATATCAGCTGGTCTGATCACAGGTTGCACTATGTCCATGAACACATCTGATCAGGTGCTGAGATCACAGCACACAAAGATGATGACTGACACTTGACTCATTGTTAGAAAATGGCTAAAACAGAAAAAGAAAAGAAAAATGAAAAAAAAAAATCAAAGATACAGAAAGTAAAATGAACGACTTGTTTTGGGTGCTGTCAGTGTTAATCTCGTTAAAATGACGTTAACACCATAACCGCATTAACGTGGCAAATCTCCATTAACTTACTAACAGAGATTTGACGCGTTAATGCGGTTATGGCGTTAACGTCATTTTAACGAGATTAACGCTGACAGCACTAATATATATACTTACATATAAACCAGACTAACTCATCCAATTGTTCACTGATGTTTTAAAGTTGCTTAAGACTATAAATATGCTACTGTCAGCAGAGATGAGTTGTGAATTTTATTTGTATATAAGTGTTTCATGCTGATGTCATTTATGGGTATTGTTGACTTACCATAGAGGATGTTGATAAGAGAGATCGGCATAACCAGGATCCCTACGAGCATGTCCGCTACAGCCAGTGACCTCAGAAAAAAGTTGGTGGCATTCTGGAGCTTCTTTTCCAGCGACACCGCGAGGATGACCAGAATGTTTCCGCCGATCGTCAGCGCAATGATGACGAGTATGAGCAGCGCTGGCCAGTTCTTCTCTTTGATAACCGCCCTGCTCACAGACTCCTGGGTTGTTAAATTATCCAGACCTAAACTCATGCCGGAAGCACCACCACCCCCGCTGCTGCTTCCAAGTCCTATCCCCCATGGGAGGGTTTGATTGAGATCTAAGGGGTTGTTACTTGGCCAAGCCATTCGACCCCCGACCTCCAAGGAGGATGTGGTTGTCCCGAACCCGCCAAGAAGAGCCCTTGCCGGGCCACCCATTTCAAAGAGAGATTACTGGAGATTGGACAATCTGCTTCAGAAGCATACAGAAGAAGAAGCTGCACTCAAAATTAAGGGACACTTCTCTGAAGGATATCGCCTAAGAGTTGATCAGATGGGATGGGAAGAAAGCAGGAAAGGGAGAAATCTGGGGGATTGTGAATGACAGGGAAGCTGGGGCAGGGGGATAGGGAAGAAGCAGCTACAAGGGCTCTTGGTTTTATTACTGTGTTTTAATAAATCTTGCTAGCTCCAAACAGCCTCAAATTGTTCTGTTAGGCTTGTATCTCCCATTACTGGCCAACAAATCATTGCCAGGGAGTTCTCAAGGTATATGCTGAGCAAAACTGTCCCGAGTTGCTTTTTGGTGTTCAGCCACATCTACATCCAAGTGGAAGTGAGACTTTAAGAGTTTTTAATTTAGAGCTGGAAATTGGATGACTCATATCCATGGCTGCCGGCCACCATCGTCCTCTGTCCACCCAATCGCTGTAGTCCGTTTGCCACAGGGTGTCAGTCGGTTTCAGTATCTGCATTCAGCTTTGAACCTTGCTGTTGTGAACGGACATATCTGAGGTGTTTATCCGAGATGATGGTGAGGGCGAACTGCGGAAAGAGGCAATGGAAGAAAAAAAAAGAATCAGATCATATAATTAGAACTTCCTGCATACACGAGTTTTTTCACCCAGTCATTCATGATTTAAAAATAAATCAAACCTCTCTCTCTTACATTCCTTCTGGTCTGTCTTGATATATTCCCCTTTTCCGATTACTTTCCTTCCATCCATCTACTCCATTCACCCACTTCTCTTCCTCAGTCTCAATAAATTTCCATTTTTTCCTTCTCTAAATCTTTTTCGAGCTTTCATCCATTTCTTCCTCCATCTTCAGCCATGCATCAACGCACTCAAATCTTCTTCTGTCCTGCATTTTCTCTGGGATTTCTCCACCAGACTAATTTAGACTTTGTCCGCACTCCTCAAAAAAAGTTCTGAAAAGAGCGTTAAACACTGTCCTCATTCAAAAAATATACTAAAGATAAAAATCCAACAGATGCTTTGATGTTTATTCCTTCACATCACAGCATGTGTGTGTGTGTGTGTGTGCGTGTGTGTGTATGTATGCCGAAGTGATGGCTCTCCTCTCTATTTACCCTTACCAGTCAGGCAGCTTAGTGATTTAGCACCTCATAAATGTCTTCGAGGAGAGGTGGAGGAGTCAAAGTTTATGTGTGTCTGATAGTCAGCGCGCGCATACAGTGAGTCTTTGCCTGTGAAGAGCACAAACGACCAAAAACCATTGAGACGTTTTCCTGTTTGCGTGGGATGTTTAAGAATGAAATGCGAATAAGTGTGTGTGTGTTTACTTTTGTACTTTTTTCTTTCTACGTTCCCATGTGTCCACTTGTGAGTGTGTATTTTGAGATGAAAAGCGAGCACATCTCCAGACGCAACCAAGCCTCCAGCTGAGATATTTTAGTGGGCGGCGAGTCTATGATAATATCAGGAAGGATAGAGTATGTCTGTCCATATTTTACTGAATGCTACATACACAATAATAAAAACTGTGCTTCTTTTTTCCCCCCACTGTGTGGGTCTGTTAACATTTGTATTGTTTAATGTGTGTAAGTGTATTCATTTGTCTCTGCTTTGCACTTATTTGTGTAAATTGCTCTGAATGCAGATGAACCGTCTAGGTGCGATTGGGTGCAAACACAATAATTCATTCAGATTACTGTTGTGTGTGTGTCTGGGTGTGTGTGTTCCAACTTGTGTTGTTTATAAAAACAACCCATCCTCGTACTTAAATGACAATTTGGCTGATAGTGACCAGCACCTGTTTTCACACCTTGGCTCATGTGATTAGGCAGATGATCAATAGAGGGTCATCAACCCTCTTATGGACACTCCCAATAGGGCTTAAATAGGGCTCTCCACTTCTCAGAACTCAAGAAGCTTCTTGGATGAGAGGTGAAACGTCTTCAAGAAACTTAAAGATGATGATGACCTGGATGACTGAGAACCTTCAAAAACCCCTGAACTGAGTCCAAAGTAGATACCTACCAGTTTACCTTGAACCACACCCTTCCCAACTGGTCTTTTATCATATTGAATGCAGTAATTGGACCTTAATGGGTTTTTTTTGTTTTGTTTTGCTTTCGCTTATTATACTTAAACACTTCCTTTCTCATTTTCCACTAAACTGACAGGATGGCACATTCTTATTCCCAGGGTGGATGGAAATAGGAATGTGACCCATTTGGGGTCATCCTATAACAACCTGTCTAACCTGACCAGTTGTTATCATTTTTCAGCTTGCTGGGTTAGTGTTGGGCCGATGGGCCGTAATGCATCAGTGGGCAAGTAATGCACTAACCAAAAAAGGCTTTGTGAGGGATGCACTGTTGTCTGAAAAAAGCATGTATTTACTACCAGGCCACATGCCAATCAGTAGTATCCTGTGCTCACTTAGTCGCTACAGTTGCCCGCCTAAAAGTTGAGAAATGGTTATCTCAGGTCCCGCCCATTTTACATTGTCAGGGGTTATTTGCAAGTAGTGCAGTCGCTTGAAGTTGATTTTCTGTGGTGTGTGGTTGCCAGGTCGCTGCCAATTGATTCCACTGTGGACGCAGCTTTAGGCATTAAAATCTGCTGGGTTAGGTTTAAAAAATAAACGCAACAGTTGCCATGGCTTATAAAACACTTCTTTCTGGTTGCCATGGTGACACTTGCTTTTTCTACAGAACATACGTGCTTTTGGGACAAAACATATTTCCCACTGAATTGCATGACTTACAAATGTGTGCTCACTGACAAAAGTGTAGTTCTTTCATTTTTTTTGGTAACTATTTCACAAACTCCTGAGACTGAGCTGGGCTGAAGTCACCAAGTGACACAAATAATTTCTTGTAATTTCATATATCTCTATGGGAAACATGCACTTGCTATTTCACAGAGATGTTTGGATGCCGCAAAGAACGAAAACAGGAGCCCGCATGCCTCACTCTTTTTAGGTGTGGTTGCCTTTCATCATACCAGAGCATGACTGCCTGTGAGGTTCAGTTAGGTTTTGCTGTGCTTCATCCAAATACCAGTATTACTGAGGACCCTCTAAACATTTGGAGTGAGCTATAGAGCCTAAAGCGTTGGCACAGTGCTCACTACAGTCCAGCTGCACCAGTTAGTGCTCTTTTTGTTTAAATACATTCCTCCCTCAAGTTTGTGCTCTATAAGGAAACTTTCTGCATGCAAGTGCAATAAGGACAGCTGCAAAGATCTCCATACCTTTAAGTCTCTAAATTGACATTCTACCTCTTTAATAAGGGATTGCTTTTTTTAGCCCTAAATGAGGGCTTAGTGCTGGGACATACAGTTAGGTCTCAGTCACAAAGACCTAGAGACCCACCGGTTTGCAGTTCTCTGTGCAGCCAGCAGTCACTAGACTGTTTGGTAAGTGGTTGCTGACAGATGAAATTGATAGTAAAGAGCAATGTTCCCTCTAAGCTGCGCACGTGCGCAATTGCGCACTGTTGGCACGGTCTCTGCGCACAGAAAATCTGCGTTGCGCACAAAAAAACTAACCTGAATTGAAATTAAAATTAATACTTCAACAATCATGTTTTGCAGTGTTAGTCAGTAAGTGACTGGCTGCTCCCATATGGGATTAGAACGATGCCACCTTATCCCATAGTTCAGCCGATGCGTATATACGCAGCGAATCAACGTTGTTGACAGGCTATGACAGCGTCCTTATGTGCCGACACCGTGTTTTAGCTAGCAAAGCGGCGTGGCTGATGTGGAGTGAAGCCACGTTAATGACAACGTGTACAACCATTGGAGATGTGAGTAGGACAAACGGAACAATTGACGGAAAAAGTGTGGACTTTATACCAGTTTTTAAATTGTGTTGATAGGCCACGTAAAACCAGAGTTGTGATAAAAATATGCAATGTTTGGTTTTCTTCCTGAATACTGTCGTTGTTTATATTTACTGCGGGAAGAAACGGTAAAAACTGCGTTTTATGAGAAAAAAGGCTCAAAAGCCTGTGAGAAAAAACAAACCCCACCCCCCACCTTTCCTATTGGTCCAAAAAAGTACCATGTCGACCAATCAAAAAATGATATGGCAACGTGGCATCTTGTTGTTAAGAAACGGGGGGAAGTTTTAGGTGTTTTGAAATGTGAGAGATTTGAGATGTTCAGCGCAAATCTTGTGTAGTTAGTGTGTAGTGTAGTCAATAGTTTTGTTGTGTGTGTCAGAACAATGAGGCGACTGAATGTTACAGGTGTTACAGGAGTGATACATCTCCTGTTGTCAGGCCTGCAGGTATCAGGCTGTTGTTCTCCTTTATCTCATAGTGGACAGAAATTATTTTTTGGAGTGGCACAAATAATTTGTGTGGCATCAAGTTTGATGCAGAACAGCTGATTGTTCTGTAAATA